CAACTCTCCCGGCAGCAGTAGGCGCACAGCCGTTTGGATTTCCCGACTGGTGATGGTTGAGCGCTTGTTGTAATGAGCCAAACGAGATGCTTCGGCAGCAATACGCTCGAAGATGTCATTCACAAAGCTGTTCATGATGCTCATCGCTTTCGACGAAATACCAGTGTCAGGGTGGACTTGCTTCAGAACCTTGTAAATGTAGATGGCATAGCTCTCCTTCCTCTTGCGCTTCTTCTTCTTGTCGTTCTTGGTGATGTTCTTCTGAGCCTTTCCAGCCTTTTTGGCTGCCTTTCCACTAGTCTTGGGCGGCATTTTATTTCACTTCACTTTTACAGTTTACACTTTGTGTTCCTGGCGTGTTGGACCACAAAACCTTATACTTTTATTTGAGCAGTCTATTCAGGTTTGAGATACAGACGAAAAACCCACCCCTACGATGAACGCCCAGACTGACGGAAAAAGTATAAATATAGCGACGGGTGTCGGCTTCTCAACATTCGTTTGTGAACAGTGAAAAATAAATATCTGCTATTAAAATGTCTGGTCGTGGTAAAGGTGGCAAAGTGAAGGGAAAGGCAAAGTCTCGCTCGAACCGTGCCGGTCTTCAGTTCCCCGTTGGTCGTATTCATCGTCTGCTTCGCAAGGGCAACTATGCCGAGCGTGTCGGTGCTGGCGCTCCTGTTTACCTGGCTGCCGTGATGGAATACTTGGCCGCTGAAGTTCTTGAGTTGGCTGGCAATGCTGCCCGTGACAACAAGAAGACGAGAATTATCCCTCGCCATCTGCAGCTGGCCATCCGCAACGATGAGGAGTTGAACAAGCTGCTCTCAGGCGTCACCATTGCTCAGGGTGGTGTTTTGCCCAACATCCAGGCCGTTCTGCTGCCCAAGAAGACCGAGAAGAAAGCATAAGTGCTCCAATAGCAACAATATACATTCTTGTACATACACATATAAACCCAAACGTCCTTTTCAGGACGACCAAAACATGACAAAAGATTTAAGAGAATTTTCATAATTTTAAAGTATAAATAAAATGCTCCATGCAGGCTAACGCACATTTTAGTTGGTAGCGAAGAAGTTGCAGGGAATAAAAGAAGTACAGTTGTGCTCGACGCATTGGAAATTGTGATATTGTGCCTAATATTTTCTGTCGTGGGGGATATGACAAACAAACCTTTTTTTTGCCCACCTACGCAAGTACCCTTTTCCAACATATTGCAGCACTTTGACTAAACATTCTGCCTACCGCGATATCTCTCTGGGTATTCTAATTTTCTACCGCAGGAGAGGAAATAGCACTAGGGACCATGTAATTTTCCAACAGCATCACGCTTAATGCTTATGCTTATGCAGCGTACTTTGATGGGAGCACACTTTTATTATTAAAATACAAGTTTTGAAAATGTGTCTTCTCTTTTAGATTATTTTGTGGTCCTGAAAAGGACCGATTGTTTACTTTCGAACAGGAGACTGAACAAATTTTCTTAACCGCCGAAACCGTACAGCGTGCGGCCTTGCCTCTTCAGAGCATACACAACATCCATGGCTGTGACTGTCTTCCTCTTGGCGTGTTCGGTGTAGGTGACGGCATCACGGATAACGTTTTCCAAAAACACCTTCAGCACTCCACGAGTCTCCTCATAGATGAGTCCCGAGATACGTTTTACACCGCCACGACGAGCCAAACGGCGGATAGCGGGCTTCGTGATACCCTGGATGTTATCACGCAGAACCTTGCGATGACGCTTAGCGCCTCCCTTTCCCAAGCCTTTGCCACCTTTACCACGACCAGTCATTTTTTTTCACTACCTTGCTTCACGAAACAAATATCAGGAACGAATGTTGTACTGCCGAAAAGCGCACTCCTATTTATACTAAAACACCACCGAAACACGAGTGAGTCCGAATGATATGCTCATCTCGCTCGGGAAATGAAATAGCATGCTTCGGGCTGCTCTCGCTCTCGTTTCAACCCTCCGCCAGGAGAATGCTATATAAGCAAGCATCAGTGCCTGCGATCGCTTATTGTAAATTCGAATTTCAAACGTTGAAGTGAAAATTGAAGATGGCCCGTACCAAGCAGACTGCTCGTAAATCCACTGGTGGCAAGGCGCCACGCAAACAACTGGCTACTAAGGCTGCACGTAAAAGTGCTCCAGCAACCGGTGGCGTGAAGAAACCTCATCGTTATCGCCCTGGCACTGTTGCCCTGCGTGAAATCCGTCGTTACCAGAAGAGTACCGAGCTGCTGATCCGCAAACTGCCTTTCCAGCGGTTGGTTCGTGAAATCGCTCAAGATTTCAAAACCGACTTGCGTTTCCAGAGCTCGGCAGTAATGGCACTGCAGGAAGCTAGCGAAGCCTATCTGGTCGGTCTCTTCGAAGATACCAACTTGTGTGCCATCCATGCCAAGCGTGTCACAATCATGCCCAAGGACATTCAACTGGCCAGACGTATTCGTGGCGAGCGTGCTTAAGTTGATATTTCTTCGACAAGCGCATAGCAATTGTATTCAAATCGGTCCTTTTCAGGACCACAAAATAACTTCCATTGAGATTTTTTATTTCTGCATGCTAGTCGTATTATTTTTCTCAAATAAAGTATTTACATATATAACATATCTTTGCTTCGTCGTAGTCAGTTTGGCTACTCAATATTGTGCGAAAGCCTTGTTTTACTTATGCAATATAAACAAATCGGCAATTCAATGGGGACATCATCCATCCAATAAATTCTTACCGTATATGATTCGTATTAAATGTTCCGATGTCATGTCGACTTGTTATTCGAGTGGATATTCTTACGAGGGGCATTTTGAATAATTGTTTATAAAAAATGTGTGCATAGAAACCATTGTTTGTCTGTAGAAATCCTTTATACTCAATTTTAGTATTATACGCGCTTTTACAATGACCAATAAATTCCACATTTTTGATATTCTTGTTTATGGGACAGAAACTGTTTGACAAAGGTTTTTGAGGCTTCCACTAGTACCACTATCATGTATTAAAAGGCCGTTTAAAATATAAATATGTGAAAATATTATAAAAAAATAATGAAGAAATGTTCTTAAGATTCACACTAATTGGGGTAGACAATTAAATTTACGAAAAATAGATTCTTTCGATTTTTGCTTTGAGATAAATGTAGGTGGTAGTGCTATGTGGGTATGAAAGGCTGTTATTTGTGGCTAAATATTTGCAAAAATGGATCATAAATAATATTAAATTGAAAATCATATTGATTTCCTTAAGAAAAAAGTCTAACAATAACATATTTTTAAACATTTATATTTTTTGACCCCTAAATTCAGTGCTGAAAATACCCAGAAAGTAGTCTTTTTGTACTCTATAGGGTTATCTTCAAAACGATTTAAAAATACCATTCTAACCGATAAGTGAATATCTGATCAATGACCCTTAAAGTAAATAAATCAAATTTTATGTTTCAAAAATAAGTTTTGTTAAATAAGCTTACATTGGTATTTATTAATGTCATTGAATCCAAAACATAAGAGTTGGATATCTAGTTGTCAA